GGGTTACAAAGGTTAATCCGGCTGAAGTGAAATACCAGCCATGACTTCCTATTTCCTAAAGCGCAGATCAACGTACAGCAAACAAAAGGGTCTCTTTCTAACCAGAATGGACTAGTTCTTCAGTGGGAAGATCGTTATAGCCAACAAAGCAATGCAACTGACCCCAGTTTAGAAAAAAAAAAAAAAAGACTAGGCCATTTAATAGACAGTTTGCTGGATGATGCAATACATTTTAAAATTCAGAATGCATTTGTACAAGTGGCTTTTAGACATCCGCTACAGTTGTCTCTATTCCTCTCAAAACACTAATATGTCAATGGGAAATTAAATGAAGAGTGGATTAGCTGTAGACATGAGACAAATATAGCAACATCTAAAGACAAAAAGGGTGTACTAATTTATGTTAATGACAGCTACCTCCTTGGGGACCAAAACCTTTAAAATTCCTCCTCGTCTCTCATCTGGCGCACACTTTTGGCAAACTTCAGTGCTAGTCAAGGGTGTGGATGCTCAGGATCCAGTTTAAACAGCAGCTACTTCCTCAGGGAGACTTGCATGAAAAAAGATCTCTGGAGCCTACAGAGAAAAGAAAACTATGCATCAAGTCACCCTTCTCTTCATATCCAGAGTGGAGCTGTGGTTGGACACAGGTGAATACATGCCTCCCATTGGGACTTTGGGTGCTTTGAAATTCACTCTTGGTCAACAAAGTAAAGCATTCCAAAACCTGACAGTCTGACAACTTCATTGTCCTGTATTTGGTGGCTGCAGCACCATAATGGAGTTATTGTACTGCTTTGATGATGTTGTGATATTGTCAGCCAATCTTTTCTGGGCTGAGGAGGAGCAAGTGCCTGTGTTGGAAAGAAGAGCAGAGAAGGTGGACTCCAGGGGTGCTTATACACGCGACAAAATTGACCTTTAAAGCAGCTTAATTGCCCTTTTGCACACTTTAATGGCATTGCTGTTTACACATTCAGTGATGTATTCCAATTGAATTTTGTGAAGATGTACACATTCAGAAGCATATTTTGGTTTAAAGGACTTTGTAATGTAACAAGGTAAAACCCATCCAAGCTATTTTAGTTTTCTACATAACAAAGTCCAATGGTGCAGAGGGCGCTGGAAGCCCAGACATGCTCAGGGAAGCTTGGGCTTGGTGTAGGTCCTTTCCGACCCTGAAACTATGAAACACCCAGCAGCTGTCTTGCCGCCTTGCCACTCTGCCCCAGGGGCAAGCCAGCCTATTCCTGGGCAGTCCCAGGCAGCAGGAAGGCAGTGGGGATGGTACATGGGGCACAGGAATATTTGCCTCTCCTGCTGCCAGGGGGCAAGCTGCCAATGGGCAAGTGGCCTCTGAACTGCAGGGGACCCTGGATCTTCCCTCCACAGCAGTGATGCCCTCCAGACAGCACCTGCCTGCTAGCACCTGACCTGGCTGTTTTCAGGGTAATGGCCACCATGCAGGGAAGCACCAAGCCCTGTGCAGCTTGAGGGCTGTGTGACTAGGTGGCAGCTTGTGCAGGCAGGCTCAGCTGAGGGGGGCAGGAAAAAAAGGAAAAAGGAGCAAGGAGCCTGATTTTTTTTTTTTTTTGCTCCTGGAGCCCGGCCGCCCTCGACCAGGCTGCCTGAGCTGCACAGGGCCCAGTGCTTCCCATCATTCCTGCAGCACCCTTGGGACCACTAGGCGGGCAGCACCCACCCACTAGCAGCCTGGGGGGTGCTACTGCCACAGAGGAAAGCACCAGGCCCTGCACAGCTCGGGCAGGCAGGCAGGCTCCTGGAGGAAAAGAGATCAGGCTCCTCGCCATGTTTTTCCTTTTTTGTCCTCCCTCCCTCAGTTGAGCCTGCCAGCATCAGCTGCTGCCAGGTCACACACACAGCCTCTTAGCTTCACGGGGTCCATCACTTCTCTCCACGGTGGTAGCACCCCCCTGGACCACCCAGGTGGGGTGCTAGTGGATGGGTGCCACCTGGGAGGAGCCACTGCCATGGAGGGAAGCTCAGGGGCCACTTGGCCTGTTGGCAGCTTGGCCCTCCCCCCTCAGGAAGGGCAGGTACACTCTGGGAAATGAAAAGAAAAGGATTCGACCCCTTGGCATTTTGTTTTTCCTGGTGGAGCTGGGGGCGTGGGGGAGGCAGGAAAGAGGCAAGTGAGCTAATGGGGGCTATAACGTGGAAGTCCCTTAATTGAAATCATAGGTTTTTAAATGACACAATTCAAAACCCACCAATTAAAAACCCACCGTTTCAATTTAGGGGGAACTAGGCCCCCATTGCGTGTAAAAGCACCCATGAATTATGAAACCAGGAGCAGAAGGGCAATTCTGGTGGAGAGAAAGAAAGAAGAAAGACTGATGAAGCAGAAGTGGAATGAACTTATAGCAGAATTGGCACCTCTATCTCCTTTACAACTCCAACCCCCATATGCAATTTTGTTGTCTCACTGTACACGAGCTGGAAGGGGCAGGGAGAGAAATGCTGAGTTCCCATTGTACAGCAATAGGATATTGGCTTCCCTGATCTCACCATAAATCCTAACAGGGAATTTGCCCAGAATGCTCAGTGCTAGGGGCCGTCAGACCACAGACCCTGAAGGTGTATAATGAATCTTGAACAAGGTAAAAGTTGGCCTATTACTTCCAAGGCTGTATCCTCTCCATGGTATCAGTAAGGAGATGCAACAAAGAATCTAGCCAGAGCGGCATGCACTAGGGCTGTGTGAAATTTTGCCCGCTGTTTTGTTTTGACCTCAAAACAGCAAAATGAAGGGCTTCGAAACAGCCTCAAAAATGAAATGGGGGAGGGGGGGGGGGTCAGTCAAGATGTTTCAAAAGTTTCGAAATATTTCAAGTTTTGAAGCTCAAGCTGGGCTTGCCTGCATGGAAACAGAAACTAAAGGAGAGGGAGGGAGAAGAGGGGGAAAGGACTGCTCTTATATTGATTGCATAGCTGGCCAGTGACAGCGATCCTTCCCTGAGGTCCCTTCCAATCCCAGTGCTCTGTGGGAGGGATGGACAACACACACAATCACACATCATGAGTTTTGCTTGTCAGCATCCTGAGGTTCCCAGAAACCCCTCGCCTATCTCCTTGAAACTTGGCAGGCGTCATGCCCTCAGATGGGGCTACCATCCCTGCAAGTTTCATTCATATCAGGCAAAAAGTGACAAAGTTTTAGGCACTTTTGTGCTTCCCCATTATAGCCTATGGGCAGAATATCAAAACAAAGCAGAACAGTGGTTTCGAAACCAAACCAAACTCAAAATGGAAGTTGGAACAAAACAGTGCTGTTTCGCACAGCCCTAGCATGCACCCCTTGGATTGGGGGGGGGGGGGGGGAGAAAAGAGAGAGAGAGAAAGGATGATGGGAGAAAAAGGAAATGATATCAGACCTTTGAAGCAGAGAAAGAGACCTTGCAGAAAGGCAAATGGCCAAGGGGTAACTTGAGACCTATTCAAAAAAAGTTAGTAAAATGCAACTTATATTAGTAAAAGGTTTTAAAATGAATCAAGTAATAATCAATGCCGAATATCTCTGAATCTTTCTGTGAGGTTTGGGAGGTCCTTGAGGTATTCTGTGTTTCATTCATCCCTACAAGCAATTTTTCCTTCTCTGAAACCCATGGGCAAGCAAAATCATCATCATCAAAATCAGTTTATTTTGAAAAAATGACAACATATCTACTTCATTTGTAATAATGGCTGTGAGGCTCATGCCTACAGTTTTCTTCCAATGAAGCAACTCAATGGACCTTGAAAGAGAGCCAGCAGTTAAAGTATATTTTTAAACAGCTCTTTCAAACAAAAAACAAACATGGTCCCATAGACAATGCTGTCTTTGGCTGTAGTTTCAGCCTGCTGATGAAAAAAAATAAAAGAAAAAAAAAAATCAATTTTGAGAAGTATGATTTGGTTTCTCACTGACATACTACTACCTATTGTAAGTATATCTCAGTAGCTTCCCCTGCCTTTTTACATACATTCCTTAAGGCAGGAATTAACTCCGTTATTAAAAGTTAAACCTGTACTGTTTATGCAATTAAGCTAGCCTGTTTTATAGCTGCATATGTGACTGTATGGCACTAGCAGCTAAACTCTAAACCTGTACTGTTTATGCAATTAAGCTAGCCCGTTTTATAGCTGCATGTGTGACTGTATGGCACTAGCAGCTAAACTCCGAGCTGGAATGGGATGCCTATTGTACTGGATGCTAGAATTAATGTAAAAAAAAATTGTTCTTGTCCTAAAGACCTCATAAAAATTATATACCGATTAAGTAATTTTTGTGAACATGAATAGAATTCCTGCTCCCGAAGTCGGACCTATACTGTATCTCACTAGTGATTTTTTTAGTATCCTAGAGAAAAAATACATAATCATTTTAGTCCTAATTTCCCTACCTAGACGGGGGGGGGGGGGGGGGGGAGGCAAACAGTACATTTGCCAATATTTTGTGGTCACCCCAACACTATTACATATAGTGTTGGGGTGACCACAGAATTGGACCCAAATTTGTAAACAATTTAAGGCAAAAACTATTTAAAAAAGGGAAAATAAATTAGAAAAGTCCATACATTTTGTTTTTCTGTTTTGGAAAACTGACCTAAATTTCAAATCAGGAGTTAGAAAAAAGAGAGAGAGTTGAATAACCTGAAATTACTATTTTTTAAATTTTCAGTTTAGGCACCATACTGGAAACTCATTATCCATGCATCTCTGCAATCTTTATTTCTCAAGTATTGTCTTTAACAATTCCTGATAGTCACTTAACCACTCAGGTCATTCCATACCTGCATTTCACTTTTCTTTCGTGTAACATCAACATACCATTTTGTTTCCTGTGTTAATTTCTCATGTCATGTCAACTTCTATAAAGATCTCTATTTCACCCTGGAAATTATGCATTCCTGTAAGGGTTTCTGTCTCTTTATCTGAATCTGTCCCATTCAGCCAATGCAGGTTTGATAACTTACCTGATAGTTGAGATCTATGGGAATCTCTCCATTTGGAAATCCTTTGCATCTTTTATAACGTAATTGCTTTATGTTCTGCTTATGGCCCAGTTGTCAGGTGGCCTTTGAAAATGGGCTGGCAATTGCATCTGTTTGCACAAGAAAATTGGTAATTGTACATGCCAATGACAATTTGCCTACACAGCTCAGCACCTGTAAGAATATGTATCCAGCTGGCGTATGATAACATTCAGTTTTTGCACATGTAAAAAGAACTGCCCACTAGTTCCGAGGCTCATTTTTAGAGAGAATTTATCCCAAAGTTATTCAGGTACTGACATTTTCCCAATATCTTACATGTCTGAGCTGCTCTGCCTGCCTCAAAGTAATTGGACCCTACCTACCACAGGCAATTTAGAGATTTCAACAGCTTGTCCCCAAAATGGTGGCTTATCTCTACAAAAACCAAAATGAAAGCTTAGTCTACTGCTTTTGTAATTTAGATAGTTCTAATCAGCCTGAAAATTTTACGTTATCTTCAGATTTCCCAACTCATTTTTTGACATTTGCACATGATTTTTTTAAATTACCTTTGCAGTTGGGCAGCCCAAATTATTAAAGGTCTTAAACAGGTTTTTACCTCTAGGACCTAGGATGCCCTATATTATTGTACAATGCAAAACATACCAAACTGATTTATTTATGCTTTTTCTGTTGAAGTCAGTTGATAACGGAATCACTCTGTTTATGACGATAGTATACTAATTGTCGTGTCTGCCATCAGAATCTGTTAGCAACTTCAGGCTCATTAGTAAATCTCCTTATGCTCCATCTGTAAGTGAAAAGGGTACAGTATGTACAGTAGCTGATCTAAATTTTTAATAATGTACTGAACTTGTGAGTGTTTTTGGTAATCAAAGCAAAATTACCTTGATACTTGAGAATACTGCATAATAAGGAGAGCAAATAGCTATAATATTTACTTAATGAAAAATGTAGGTACAGAACTTGGATTTAAATATGAAGAACAGTAAACTGGTAGTGGCATTAAATCAGAACACAGCACAACATCAGCATTCTCTCTGGAGACCCAAATGCAAAATTTGGTCTATTACAACAGGGTAATTACATCCCAGAGAAAGCTCTTGTGGTTAAAGTGATGGAAGACTGCAGAAATCCTGCTTCGTGTGTGTCCGTATGAAAAATCAGCCCCTGGAGATGCCTTAACCCAGGAACCCTCAACACCAAACAGAAGCAATCCAACCACTTGAACAGGCAGAGAATCAGTTTATCAGTAGTGGTAACAACAGCAGCATTTACTCTTTCTTTTGGGTCTCAGCACTTACAAAGGCAGGAAAAAAAATACCAGCCTGGATAAACTGTCCTTCACAGAGAT